TCCTGTGTTGTGCCAACAGTGAAGCATCCTGAGACCATCCATGTGTGGGGTTGCTTTTCAATCAAGGGAGTGGGCTCTCTCATAGTTCTGCCCAAAAACATTGCCATGAATAAAGAATGGTATCAAAACGTCCTGCAAGAGCGACTTCTTCCAACGATCCATGAGCAATTTGGTGATGATATGTGCATTTTCCACCATGTCACAACGCAAGAGTGATAAAGAAGTGGCTCGAAGATCATTACATTTAAATTTTGGATCCGTGGCCAGGCAACTCCCCGGATCGCAATCCCATAGAGAACCTGTGGTCAGTCCTCAAAAGGCGAGTGGACAAGCAGAAGCCCACAAATTGTGATCAACTCCGAGAACTAATATGGCAAGAATGGATCGCCATCAGTCAGGATTTGGCCCAGAAGCTAATATCCAGCATGCCAGAGCGAATTGCAGAGGTTATGAAGAACAAGGGACAACACTGTAAATATTGACTCATTATATTTTTTTGCCATTAAAAGCCTTTAAAACGTGTGATATGCTTATCATCGTTTTTCAGTATACCATAGAAACGTGGGAAAATAATCTACAAATACTGAAGCAGGAAACTTTGCAAAACACAATTTATGTCACTGCCAAAACTTTTGGCCATGACTGTAGTTAATGTTAACAAATGAAACTGCATTGTAAAGTGTTACCAAAGTATTATATATTGTTCTGTGTGTGTGTGTGTGTGTGTGTGTGTGTGTTGAACTTATAGTGTATCCCTTCCATTTCTGTAACCCTTAAATCCAAACTGCCAGAGGGTTATTGTAAATGCATGTGACCGCTGGGCACCATTTTCCTGATGCCACCAGGGTGGCGGATCTTATAGTAACCCTTTCATTGCTGTAACGCTTAAATCCAAACTGCCAGAGGGTTATTGTAAATGCATGTGACCGCCGGGCACCATTTTCCTGATGCCACCGGGGTGGCTTTTGCACTGATGGCTTGGGCCATTCAAAGCTGCTTGCAGCTTTAATCTTAGATGTTGATTTTGCTGTTCTGAAGCAAGCTGCAACTGCTACTGCAAGCACTAATCATATATTTGAATGTTGAGCAGCGAGCTCATTGGCTACCGATACAGGAGAGAACCAATCAGCTGTGCCATGTGATGATGTCATTAGGTCAGATTGAGTTAGACCTATCGGACTGTGCCATCTAGAGTTTCATGCCAGAACTCTGTATTTGCCTGATGAAATTGAATTATATATACATCTTCATGATAGACCCAGGTGAGTTTCTCTTTGCTATACACGTTTTCACTACAAATGTGAGTCACTCAACCAGAGGTAATCCTGTCAGATCGTCCATCCTTTGAGTGAGTGTGTACGGGTTGGCCAATCTGGTTTCGTCCATTAAAGTTAACCTTTTCAAATAACAATCGTGCTCCCAGACAGTGAGTGACCTTACATATGCAGGTAAAATAGGATTTTCTCCAGTCATTGTTAAAAAACAAGCAAACAAACTTCATAGCTAGCGGTAGTGAAGCGGTCAGGGAAATCTTTCTGCCTCCACCTAAGCTCCGCCCACAGAAAAACATCACAGTGTTTACTAACAGAAAAAGTGTCTATTGCAGGTACAAAAGTGGGATTCAATGATGCTTCAGCATTTTGGAGAAAATTAGTTTTCCCCAAAGTGGCTAGTATGAAATGTCTCGTTCCCTTTCTCGTCGTGGCCACATTGCCACCTTGGCTGTGCTTTTTTTTTCACGTCTCCTTGTTTTGTTTCCTATGTTATGTTGTTGTATTAATTTTGCCTGCTGATACTTAAGCATGAGAATGTCTCCACTCACTACCATATTTACTTACTGCGCGTGTCTGCAGGGTGGGAAAAGGTAGAATGATAGAAGTGATAATACACCAATTACAAATCGCGGGTTTCACACAACAGCATGAGTTACAGTTAAACAGGAAGCTAACATGACAGTATTAATGTTTTGTGTTAAGATTTGCCAAAATGGATCAAATATAGCCACTGGGGAGTTAAAAAGAGAAAAATACGTTTTTCTTGTATTTACTTGGAGGAAACGGGGATCAGTGCCGGCCCCTAGGGTTGTGTGACCCTAGGCAAGATAAAGAAAATGGGCCCCACTAGTATAAAAACTCAATTGTGTACAGTATTTGTGTTCGCTCTCTGTGGAGTGCCAAAGATTTCTCTTTACAATGTGTTTTTACAGTTTTGAGCAAAGTAGCCAATCACAGACATCGGTTGATTTCTTGAACACAGTGGCCACTCAGAAGCGTTTAAGTTAGAATACACGCTCAAAACTCTGGAGTTTTTGTTCAATGTTGAGTTCTGCTCAAAAGACAAACAAGACAGCTTTTTAGTGATTATAAAGGAACGCTCTTTGCGCCATAGCAATGAATGGCAGAAAATATTATGGTTAGGCCTATATATATTAAGGTTAGATCAATCTCACCAGTTTCAGAAGTAACCCCATTGATTTGATTCTGGAGCCAGGGGCCTCATTTATAAAATGTTGCGTATAAACCGTCCTAAATTTGTTCTAAGATCATTTCTCAAAAGTGCGTAAGTGCGCCTCTCTTCCAGATGTGACATTTATAAATCGCAAATGATCTTGAAATTGTGCGCAGCTGACTGGTGTAAGATCTCCACCTTGTAAACGCCCCCTATCATTACCATATAAAAGAGCACATGCCAATATCCGAATTTTGAGGTCCTGCTGGCGGAGGTAGAGGTTCGTGCGGGGGCGCTTTTTATTTAACAATGTGTAATTATTCTGCTGACAAACAATTTGTGTGGTTATATTTTTTCTATTGACTATTATCAAAATTACTACTTCTAGAAACAACAGAAATAATAATAATAATAATAGTAGTAGTAGTAATTATAAAACAATTAGGTTTCCAAAAGTAAGAATAAACTACGAATTCAAGTAAAATTTTCAGTCATCTTATAAAAAGTGAGCCATCCTACTTTTAAAATCACTTGCTATGACAACTAATAAAAAGTTTATCACGAAATTCTTGCAAAACTTTAAAAAACATTATTCAAAGAAAAATTGGACATTTCAAATCATAATAAAATAAATTATTACACGATTATAGTCTCCGGTCTGAAAAGACCTGCATGTGATTTGGCATTTCTTTATATTTACAGTTTACTAAAACTGCTCAAATGTGCCATTAATGTACTGACACAAAAATATATAGGGTATTTCATACAAATATAACTGATGTAAATGACAAAAACAAAGTTTAAGGCTGATGTCTCTATTCATTTTCACAGAAGCAAAGCAGCAGATGTTACACGTAAAAACAGTTAACAATGTTATTGAATAGAATATATTAAAACCGTTATTGCACGACATAGGCCTATTCTTATAGGCTACACAGACAAAACATTTCTATTTTATACATTAGTAGTAAATCAAGACTTCACAAGTTCTCTTGTAAAATAAAATAATAAAAAAACAACATGAAATAAGCTCTGAAGAGAGAGCGAGTAAAGAACTCTCAACATTAGGCTACTAAAAAGGTCAGTTTAATCTTGCAAAAACTCCCG